GCCCCCAATGGCTCCATGATGAAATCCCGTAGGAGAAAAAATCCCGCGGCCCGAAAATCCCGTAGGCCGGAAAATCTCGCATGGTCCAAAAATCCCGTAGGTACGAAAATCCCGTACGTACAAAAATCCCGATGAGTACTACAAAATTGTAATATTGTCTCTATGGGTTACCCTTCCAACTGTCTGGAAGGAATACAAATCAAGTGGATAATGAAATTGTGGAAGTGCAAGGGTTTTAATTCCTTCCAAGGGTTTGGGAGGTGTAGCGGAATTATCTTTCTCAATAGAATCTCACCTTCACTTCATGTACTGTATATTGAATATTAAGATTGAAAATGAAATATCACCATATATAACTGCATTTAGACGTCTTTGAGAATTATGAATTGTTTAAATACCATTACCTTCTGCAGTTTTCAAACTAGGTTTTTCTGATATGAAAATTTCTTTTTTGGGATTTTCGGACCTTTCGAGATTTTTGGGCCTACGGGATTTTCGGGCCGCGGGATTTTATCCTGCTCCCCTCCCAAGGGCCCACGCCGTTTTTACTGGTTCTACGACAGAGGGGAAGTAAAGCACTGTCTTCGAAAGATGTAAAACGTTACATTCTTTTTACCGCGGCATAATGCTGCTACTGCTCAGTGTCACTGATGCTCTCGATGTCATGTTATTCTTAATCTTATCTCATCTCCTTCGTCATTAGCACATTTCCACTACACCCGGACTACACCCGTTTCACCTTACTTCGGACAGCTTTTCTGCACCACTTTCCTGTACCTGGCGTAAATACACACGCTTTTACAACTCAACTTCGGAGTATTCTAGACATTGGAAAAATAAAATGTGTCCAGAATTTGTAGTTGATTTCAAAAAGTGGTGGCCACATGATATGTTCGAAAATTTTTTAAATAGCATTCTCTCACCGAACTCCGACACCGGAGAAGCGGACATGAAAAAAACACACTTTTCAGATGCTATCGGTGTAAGTTTTACGTCAACAGCCACGAACATGGGAAGATAAACATTTCACACATCACCATGGAACTTATAATGTGCTTTTTCAGCACACAGCTTGGAAGTTGAACACAATTCGAAAGTTGGGCTCCAGAAAATATTGCTGCTTGAAGACGGGATTTTTCTTTTTTTTCCACAATCAATCCCTGCTGGAACCACAGTACAGTACAGAACTGTACTCCCTTTTCCCCCTCCAACAGAGAGACACTCTCTATTAGTGTCCTGTTGGACAACATTGTAAAACAGTTAAACAGGACAGGTTGGTTGTGCTGTTCGTAGTTTTGTACTGCAAGTGTTTTGTTCAGTACCTGTTGTTATGACGCGGTGCATTAGGGGAGCCTTTTGCCGAAGCCGTGGATGAGGCAGAAACGGGTGTTGCCCGAATGGCTGGGATCTTGGTTGGGGATGTCGGCGTCATCATTCCTCCTTCTCGCAGGGCGTAAGATATGCCATCAGCCCGGATGACTGACGGAGGCGATGCCTCGCAATCCACCGACTGTGACGCCACCAGGCCGTCCATATCCACGTTGAGCTTGCTGGTATTGGTGCTCGTCGCCACCATCTAAAACGGATCAGATGCCGAACAAACAAGCACCTCATCACGAACAACTCTTTCTCCCCAGTCAGACGGACGAAGCCAACTACTCACCATGTCATGAATCTGCCACCCGCGCATCGAACACAGTGATGTACAACACAATGCAACAGCCGAGCAGTGGAGAGAAAGGGGAAAAGGGAATGCCGTCAGTCAGTCAGTACAACTCCATCAGGAGATGGCGGAATATCTCACCCGGTTGTAGGCGCTCGTGTTCAGACCCTGTATCGAGCCCGGCTCCAAGAACACTTTGACCTGATTGACTCCGGTCTGACACGATCCAGATCCGGGAACCTCCGAAGATGTCAAGAGGGACGGTGCTCCTCCGGCTCCGTTCACCCCTCCACTAGTATTAGCTGCGAGTCTGCTCGCAGCGGCGGACAGCAATGCCAACTTCTTCTTCTTCTTCACCACGAACTTTTTCGGACGAACGAGACTATAAGGAGGGAAGAAGAAAAAAAAAGGGGAGGGGGTGAGATTGAACATGGAATCGTTGGAAATGAACAAAAGGGATACTGTATCTCCTAACGGAGTATGGACTCTAACAAGCCTTTCGTCTTTCCACAAAGAGAGAGCCAGTTTTCAGCTACAGCTAGAAAAAGCAGGCCCCACACACGAGAGGGTACAATCTTACAATGATGACTTTCAGAACGAGGAAATCACATCAGTCTTGCTCCTAACTATACTAGCACACTAAAGTACAGTACAGTATTGAAAACTTTCATGGAACTTGGGTGACTGACATTGAGATGATTTCTCAATTGAAGTTGCGTTTCACTCAAAATCAGTTTGAGCTACTCTGAAACTCAACTTTAATTAACTCCATTTTTTTCAACTCCAAATCAGTTGAATTCAAAACTATTTTCACTCAAAATCAGTTTCTGCAATCCAGTCATCCAGAAAAGAATGTGAATGCATTGGCGGGTCACCGAGAGACATGATGAGCCAGCGCCCAGCAGCACGCGTGCATCACCGGAGCCCTGAAGCATCCTAGTTGTCGATACCCCTCCTCCTTTTCACCCCCACCGTCTGAATTGTGGGAACATGTGTAAGCTCTCCAAGACAGCACGAATTTTGCTGGTTACATTATCGCATGATGCACTTCCTTTATTGGTGCAAAGTACTCTCCAGAACTGCACAAAAGCAGGAACAGTCGCCTGAAACCTTTTTTTTTAATCGGAAGATTACATTCAAATGGTTCTTGTGACCATTCCATGGCACTTGGGACCATACAACTTCAGACCATTTTAAAGATACAGTAACTGAATAGGCTTTCATTCGGCTTTTTTTTCCATTGCCACAGCTCAATTTGCTACCAAGCTATTTCAATTCAAAAATTGGTTCACTTTTCTTCGGCACACCCTTTACACAGTACCGTTCAGCATATACAAAATACGGCATATGGATGTACAAACTCGACATACACTGCCAAACATCGCAACTGACAGTGGTTCCAGAGAACGGAGGTGAGAACACTCCCGAGTTTTTGGTCTCATATCATCTGCAATGATTGTATTGCAGGTAGGAAGCAGGAGATTGCTTTTGAGTAGGACATTAGACAATCCCAGGAACATGTCGACAATTTTTATAAACGCGATAAGTCCGGCCGCACGATACCAGAACTGTACCGGGTAATTAAAGCGCACCGCTTGAGCAGAAAAATGAGAGAACAGTGAAGACAGGTACTCAAATTTCGATCACGGTACCTCGGAAACTGAGGCCCACACAGAACGTGACAACAGTTGAGCCAGCATTTGTCCGAGAATGGGTTGAAGCCGACTCGGAATTTCCCCGTCACCTGCTCGTTGGTCGTCCTGCCCCGAGATACGAGAATCATGTGCAGTCCCGTGAGACCCACGATCGGCACAAACAAGAACACAATCAGCACACAGATGGATATCCTGAGCAATAATAAATTCAAAAATCCCATCTTAGAGCCAAGAAAAACCCGGAGAAAAAAGGCATAACTCACGAGACAATAGTGTCGACACGGGCAAGGTCTTGCTTGTGTTCCAGCACAAAGTTGAGACAAAGCCCGAAGATGGACACCATGTGGAGACTGAGCGACACAAGGAAGAGGAAAAAGTAGCGATAATTGCGTCGGCCAATGCAGTTGTTGACCCAGGGGCAGTGGTGATCGAACGTTTCGATGCAGGTATCGCACACGGAGCAGTGCGAGCATCGCGGCGGCCGGTAAAACTGGCACGTGCTGCACCACTTCATCCTAACCGTGATGCCGTTGATGCACACGTTCTTGTACAGCGTTGCCCGCAGGTCGTCATCGTGGTCTTCGTCCGGCAGAGCTCGCGGGATGATTCCCGGATCCATAAAGGTGGCGAGCGAGAAGTTGACGAGCACAAATGCGGTGAGCACAGCCTCGTACACCGGCACGATGGCCCACCACCGCCCCAAGTAGGCTTGACACGGAAAGTAGAAGAATAGGCACGTGGCGCCCAGGAGCAGCGACCAGGCGCAAGTGGCCGGGATGAAACGTCCCTTCGACTTGCACTTGCCCATCGCCCGCCCCTATTTACTGAGTCCCACTCTCCGCACCACGCATCAACGAACCCGCCTCCTCTCACCAGTACACATATTCCCTTAATGAAGAAGATACAATTCAATGACTTCTCAACACCACTCGTTTCGAAATGACAATAAAAGAGGAACACTAATCAACGGAATCTCGGGATAACAAATTTGGCACGGGGACTTCACTTTTTTCCTTTCTTTTTGGATTGGCAAGAGTCTATCAAAAAATAGTTGCTAACGTTGTTCGGTCAAAATGAGTGATTATCACAGTAAGTCGACCAAAGTATTTAAGAATGTATCTCTAACGAGAAGAATACTATTCGAACGCGTCCACCGCGGAAGATGCACAGGCATCAATCATCCGCGGCTTCATAATTGTTTTTTGTCTAGCCCAGAATCAATGCCTTTGTTCTTCCTGAATACACTTCCATCATCAGCTAGTAGTTGTCCAGAATTGGTTGCGCACAGCTGAACGTTAGGTGAGAAGAAAATCGGTTTTCAAAATGGAAAGAAAAAAAAATTCTCGAATTTCTGCCTTGCGCTCGAAGGACTCTTCGGTAAATGTTGACAGGTGAGAAAGAAACTTACTGAATCTGTTCGTGCTCAAGCAAGTACTCTTGTCTACAGTATCTACAAAACACATTCAATTGCTCTGCAGTACGGTGCATACTGTACTTACATTCAACCCACTTCATTCCTCATTCGGTTTGCGTGAATATTTTTCAGATGGACCTCACTTAAAATGTACTCCATACAATCTTAACGGAAATTCGGAAAAATTCTCAATCGGAACATTGTAATTTGTCATGATGGCATCTGTTATGACGAGATTCGACTGACCGACAACCAACGAACACTACGGTGTTCCCGTCGCTCGCATTCAAGGGTTCATTCATTTCTCGTTTCATCACATTCGTTGTTCAATCTGAACATCCTTGCTCTCACTGTTCACTGGTGCCCGCGCCAACTTCCCTCGCGCCATCGCACACACAAAATTATCCCTCGCTCCCAGGCGAGAAAGACACTTGCAGATCATCATGGCAATGGAAACGTAAGTCACTTTTACAGTACTGTACTCTCCTCCACTATAATAAAAAAGAAAAACCGAGAGAGAGAGAAAAGAAAAGCGATGACGAGGTGATGCAGATGTCGACGTATCACTTGGGTCTGACGCTGTTGACGTTCGCCTTGACGCTCGTGAATATCTTGCGACAGACGGGGCAGCGACGCTTGGGGATCGGACGGGCAACGAGACGCGAAGCACAGTCGTAGCAAACACACTCGTGGGCCGTTCGCCCGTGCACCAGCACCAGGCATTTACGCTCCAGCATGCATACGACGCAAAGCTCTTCCGGTGGCACTCCCAGGGTTGCGTGTGGGTCCGGGGCAGGCCTTTTCTTCATACGCGGAGGTCCTCCGAACCTAACCTTCCACTCCTGCACGAAGAATGTCAAGCCCTTGAGCTCTCAACCGAACGCCACAACAGACAGCCAGCAACTCACGCTGTAGCACTTACGGCACGAGCCGTAGCGTCCCGTCGTGTCCAATTTGCAATAAACACATTTGAGGGTGTCTGGAATCGGCAAAACGAACAGGTCGTCGAGTTCATCGTCCCCGCAATCCGATACGTCACCGAAGAACCAGCGTTCGCCACTGCTTTTCTCCGTATCCGATTTCAATCCCTGCGAACATACAACTGTTATACATTACACACCTTTCCCCAATAAATGCATTCCGGTTCCGCCTTTTGAAAAAAAGGAAAGAAAAAAAACCCCCGCAAGCCAGATGACGACCTATGTAAATCCATGACTTACAAAAATGACGTGCTTCTTCCCAGCAACTTGGAATTCGTGGTCCCAGGGATCAACTGTCGTGACCGAAAGATAAATAGAACATACATGATTTAATTTCTCTCTTTTGAATCGCAAAATCGAACGTACCAGAGAGCATTTCGCTACAATTCAGGATTGAAAAATCGAATCCTTCTCAGATTCGCACACAAAATGCTCCTTTCTCTCACGTGAAACAAAATTTCTCATCCTACCTAACGCCTCAAGACCTTACTACATCATCAAAAAGTATCCCAGTACTGAGCATCAGATCAAGGTACGATCCCGCAGGAAATTAAAATTTCAGTGCAAGTGCAGATACACATTGGAGACTTATTCGAGATCGCTTCAACGCAGGTAGTCACAGAAATCCATTGTGCTGAGGATATACAGTAAAATACTGTATAAAAATGTAATGCAGAACACAACACACCCCTGCAGCGCTCCTGGTGATCGGGATCATCCATGTCGGAGGAATCATTGCTGTCAGTGACAAGACGCTTCGTAGGAGGTGCCAACTGGCCCGCAAATGAGCACGACGGATTAAAGTTGCCGATACCCTCGGCCATTTCAACATCTTCCGACACTCGACGCTTCACTCCAGTGCCCGCAGGCACGTCCATCCTCCCACCCCGTCTACAACCCCTACACCAGTCAATCGTATCCTTCCTCAATCTACAGTCTGAGAGTGATAAGAGAATACAAGGTTAGTGTATCAATAGAAATTCCGAGACGCGACAGAGACCAAGTCGAACACAATCACAATCATTGTCAAGAGCATCGAATTAAACACCTTAGGCATTATTTAAAACAGCTTTTCCCGGAAACGGACATAGCTGAAATGATGGTACTGTACACAAGAAGGAATGACTATGCCAGGCGTTGAAATAAAAGACAGGATTCGCAAAGGCGGCGGCGGATTCAGAGGGACTTTAGGCAAGAGCGGTAGTAAAAGAGAGAAAACTTCATTCATCATCACAATTCCTCCGAAAACAAAAAAATAATGACAATAATCCTGTTCGCCACACCGACGAGGGATCACGACAGCTCAAATCCAGTGTTACTGTGGATCGCATACCGCAATTTGTCACGCAACGTTGCCTTCTTGTGGTAGTTGGGCAACTTGAGGAGGTTGAAACACGTTGAGGACGTCGGGAGCCGCACAGCGGCAGAAGCACTCCCCGCAGATGACACGGCATTACGACTTTCCCCGCCAACCCGGTTGGATCCTCGACGCGGGATCGTGAAAAACCCCCGCAGGACACTGCCGATCGTGTCGCCCGTGTCCTCGTCTTCCCCAACTTCTACGCAGCGAATGCTGAATGGAGGATCCAGCTGCGAGAAGCCCAAAAGCGGCGGGCAGCTGCATGAAGTCACAAACTTGAGGAACAACCGGCGTTCAGACTCCGAGAAATCCCGTTCCAACACAGCCCACAGCCAGGCAATCACTCGATGCTTGTCATGGAACCCTCCGTAATAATGCGTGTGTTTCCGCAGGTCCCGCAAGTCCAACCTAGATGGTTACAACATAAACAAAAAACGATGTGAAGATGCCAGCGTGAAAAAGTCAGCCTTTCTGATGGACTTTGCATGGCTTTGGGTTCTTGCTTCTTTGTAATGTAGTATTTTGTTTCCACTTTCCGAATTCAAGGAATTCGGAAAAGTGACTTCTTGTGAATTCTTCACAACCATGAATGAAAACTTCTCAATGCCAGAAAGAGGGAATCATTCATTCGATAGGGTGCTGAAAATGCGTTCAAGGAAACATAAAAACCAATACCATGCTCGATTCTCGGCCAATTTCAATTTCAACAGACACTGCACTCGTCGTATTCATCTTCCCCTTTAAAGCCGGATGACCCACAACATCTCAGAATTTGAAGAAATATGAACAACCATTGCAAGTGACTGCAAGTTTGTGTCTCCATTTTTCGACTTCATGCCCACATTTTTGCTTTTTCATTAGCTGTTCTGAAGAAACAACAAATACAGTACTTCAAGAAACGCACCTCATTAAGAGCAAGGTAATTCCTTGATTGAGTATATAAATTATGCATATTGAATATTACGAGTTCCTACGGATCTTTGATTCTTGCAGGCAGACTGAATAGTCAGCCTCATGTAACAAAATCCAAGGCTGAAAGGCGTCATTTGCATTACTTGTATAGCAAACTTGCATTTGGCCAACTTGCGCAGTGAGATCCCAAAACTGCCTCAAAACCCTTGGACAATCATTATTTGCATGGCTGATGCTTGGCCTACCATTATTTATACGGCAGACCATTATTTGTAGGGCCAATGATTGGCCAACCATTACTTGGGTGGCCAACAATTACTTGGGTGGCCAACAATTACTTGGGTGGCTGACCATTAGTCTACCATTGTTTTTTGGGTAAGCTATCTAAAATTATCTAATGTATGGCAGTTTCCCAAAGCACATTCTGCTATGCTGAATCGTATATTTGTGTTGCTCACCCATTAAAAGGAGCTGCTCATTTGACCATGTAAATTTGGCACAATCCATTTGAAATTTGTTATTATACACCACTTTTATTCTGGACACATGTGCACATCTGTGTACCATTCTGCATAGCAATTAGCAACTAAATTTGGGAGGGTTATATTTCCCTTCACTTGGATATTATTTTACTCCCCATCCAGGGTATTACTTCACAGCTTGTGAATTGTTTAGAGGAGTGTTCCCCTCCCTCCCCCCTGTAATTTGGTATGTTGCTCCTTCAATAAACAGATACTGGGAAGTGTGGGGCATTGCAGGCCAAATCGCCCCGCCCACCCCCCCCCCTTGTGCAGATGGTCTGCAGCTGGTGTTTTTCTGGGTTTTGCAGGAAATTAGCTGAGCGGGAAAAAACATGCATTTTCTTTTGAGCAGGCCATTCTCACTTTGGATTTGACTCTCATTGTTCTTGGTTGTGTCTTGACCTGCTGTTGTATCATTTGAAAATTGTATTCTGATTGTTGAAACATTGAATGTTTTAATCTGATGTATTATTTATTTGTGTATTGGACAGAGATGTGTAATTTTCCAATATTCTCCGCAATTATTGGCAATGATTTGCTGCTATATTATGGCACATATGTGAACAGTTTGGTTTGTCCACAAATATTAATTGAACGAATCAGAAGAAGTGCAAGTTATTCCAGACTGCCCTGTCTCCAACCAACCAAGGAGTATTAACCATCTGTCTTCAGTAAAGCGCTTAGCCTTGCTGCCTTGGGGTGAGTTCTGCAACTTTGCCAAACATCTGCCTAGCTGTCATCTGTCAATCAAATCTGGAGCAGCCATTACAGAACATCAGATGCTTGTAACTTTGAGATGGGCACAATTCCGCGTTGAGCAATTGGTAGCAATTTCAGA